CCTGGACATCACTTTATGTGGCATAGTGCTTATTGCTCTAACTCATTAAACTGGCAATCTAAGTTTTTTATTAGTGCTAGCTTGGGGTTTGTTCATTTTTAGGGGACTCAAACCTGGGCTATCAACTTATTTGTAAATGAGAGGAAAACCATTAAGGTCTAGGAGTTTAGCAGACAAATCTTTGCATTATGAAGGCATCTATGAATGAGGCGGATAGGTTGCAAAGTTACTTGGAAAGTTACTTGGAGATCCTTCTGAAATCAGTTAAGGAAGAAACACATCTGAGAGGACGGTTCAGGTTGCTGAGAAACTCTTGATTTCAGGGATAGCTTGTGTATACTGTATTCCTCACTCACATGTCAGTTAAAGAATAAAATTAAGAGCGATGAATCCTGGCCAGAGGACCCAGGCTTCGCGGCCATCAATCAGTGCAGGCCTATTGAAGGGCTGGTCGGTAATTTCCTTTTGTTCTTGGGTGGAAAAGGAAGGATACAGTCCACATACAGTTGCACAAAAATGAATGAAGAGACTAGTATGTCACTAGAGTGAGTATGCAAAAGATAACAATGTCACTCAAGCATTATTTTATTAGGGAAACTTGCAGAACCTTTTGCATAATAAAGAGAAAGGGCTGCTTAGGTTTGAGGCAGCTACAGCAATTTACTTGTGCATGCTTCTGGGAAACATTGACTCTTTTGCATCCAATTTTCCCTCAACAAATGGTTTCCTTTCCTGTCCCTGCACGTCTCATAGTGCTCTCCTATAAGAACCACTGTAGCTGAGGACACAGAAAGCTGACTGGTGCAATCAGCACAGCAGCACATATGAGATGATAAGTTTTGAGGACAAGAAAACTGTCAAGACCTAGCACCAGTAGTGCATTGTCTATATCTTGAACTGAAACTACAGTCTTAGACAAAATTGAACCCTAACCCAGCCAAATATAGGTGTGAACAATAGCCACAGGTTGTTCTGCAACCAGAATACAAAATATTTAAAAAAAAATGGGGCTAATTTAGGCAATATGAGAAGTGCCTGCTACCTTCACTCCTCTGTTCAGTATTTCTCTTCTGCGTATCTCTATTGTCAGCCACACAACCAACAGGACACAAGAAACTTTTTACAAGTACATTTTTATTTAAAATAAAAATTAATTATGGTGCCTTTTTAAAATAGGGTACTGCACAATCTGTATATGCAACACAGTTTTTGGTACGGAACATACTTATTGAGCAATATCCTTAAATACTAAATATACATTAATGGCTTGTTTGAGAAACATGACAACATTAATTCTGATATTTTTTTTCTCTTTAGTCATTTAACCACTGATACAGATTTCCTATAAACAATAGTTGTTTTCATCTGTACATGTGGTACACAGTCAAGAAGGCAGATCTTAGAATATTTACATTCATGCATTGATTTAAACACACTATTTTTCAGTTTAAAATAATATATTTTTGTTTGTACAGATGCAGGGAGTATTGTAAATATATATCTATCATAGGCCTGATTCTCCATTGCTTGACAGCATCTATGGTCATTACCTCTTCAAAGCAGTTAGTCCATACTTGTTTCACATGCTATACATGACCATATGGCATGCAAGGCTGGACAATTAAGTCTCCGTATAGATATATATCAATCAATATATTTATATCTTATACTTTGAACTCTCCTATTTTTCTTTCCGTGCCTGTTTTTGCAGCATCTGTCCAAGGTACAGATGCTTTCCTGGTCACACTTCTGTGTTGGGTCTGAGCCAGGAAGAGGTGCAAGGTTGTGGCTCCCTGCCAAGCACTGACACCTTCAGCTCCTCCTGGCGTCACCAACTCAACAACATTTGCAGCTCAGGCCCTGTAAAGTGCAGTATCTGCTAGTGGTGATACGTATTTAATTAAAATGGGTTTTAAGGAGAAAGTTCAGAGTTAATCCTCTCCCTCAGACTGACCAAAACAATTTGCTGTTCCATGGGTGGGTCTGGCTGTGCTCAGAGGTGTAAAAGCAGAGCAGTTATATCTGTGCAGAAAGGGGCCTCCTGGATCTACCTGTCCTATGAATGGAGCTATGTGGGACCTTCCTAAGCCTCATATTTTAGAGGCTAAAAATAAACTTCAAATGCTTATAAAGTGGTATTTTGAAGTAGCAGCTTCATCTCTAAAGGGTCACTGCTGGAGTGAAGCCCTTATCCATCAAGACTATTCTTTTACCTTCCATATTAATTATAATACAACAAGGAAACACAGAAGGCTCTTTTATAAAAGCCTTGCAGGTAGCCTGGAGAGTATTAAACAAAACCAGAAAACTTCAGAAATCTTTTCCACAAAGTGCCACCATCCTGGCCTCTCTTTGCTGAAGACTTAAATATGTTGTCCTTTTCCTGGGGCTTTTCTGGAGACCAGCTTAAATTTGGGTGCAATGTAGACAATTGTGTTTAGAAAGCGAGGAATCTAACACAGAACCATCTCATACAGAATTCCCTCTCTATTCCTACTATGGAGCTGTGCAATTTCTGGGAACAAAAGCCCAGGAAAAGCAGAGGGAGCAGCTCCCAGCCTGTCTGCTGGTCTTCTCTTGTGGCCTAGGAGAATGAAAAGAAATCAGGGGGAGCATTTATGAGATATTTTGGGCCACATAGTTAGTTAAATACTATGGGGATGGTGATTTCAATGTGCCCAAACATTGTTTTTTAATATCAGGGCATTGAATAAAATACTGAGCAGTGCCTCCTATGTAATGAGACACGTCCTGTGAGTGCTGTCACGAGGCTGGTATGTATTTATATCATGATTATACACAGGGGCAAACTGAGGCACAGAGAAGCAAACTTGCTTGCTAGTAAACAGGAGATCAGCAGTGGAGTTAGAAATAACATCTGTGATATATGTGGGTATCCCTTAAAATGTCCTTCCTCCCTGCTCTGTGTGAAGATTTGAATGTTTATGTTCTGCTGCAAAAATCTTTAGATGTCTGGGGTGGGTTTGTTTGTGGGGGAGGGCATGTGTCACCAGGAGCTTCTCTCAATGAAGACATTTTATCATTGACAGTTCTGAAAATGAGACTGTGTTCTGTGGCCTTCTCTTTACACTTGTGGGTTTTTTGTTTTTTTTTTAAAGCAGACACAATTTGCTGGATTTCTTGAGCTACAAATCCTTTCTGTTTATTTGGCCTTATAGAATATGTCTTTAAAGCTTTGTTAGAAAATAAAATTATCAACCTTTAGGAGAAAGTGCTGATCCTGAGCCTGTATCATGCAAAACCCACCGGCACTCATACTTCATACTCTTCGTTAAACATGCAACCAGTCTCAAACTATGCCACATTTATGCAGAAATCACCAAAGTAAAAAAAAAAAGGCAAACATAGGTTGGTAATTACAACAAAATAAATGATATAGCTTAAAAATATTCTAGAAATATACTTGAAATATTTTTATTATAATATTTAGGGACTATGTGCCTTAGGCGACCAACATTTGGAATAATAGAGTCAAAATGTAGATTCTGTTATTTTAATCCCACTTTGGATCTAAGAACGTATCAGTGTATCTTGTGCAAGCACACAATACAAATATGGGAGGATATGAGGATACTCTTGGGCTTACTTGTTCGCTTCTGCTTTTATCATTGTGTTACTTCTCAGCAAAGTCTAGACTTTTAAAAATAATTTTATATAGCTTAATTTCTACATATTGATGACAGGCTAAAAGGCTGAAAGGGTAACTCCATAAATTCCTCAACAGTAGTATATAGCAGCATTTCATTTCCATCATTGAAAAGATACTTATATTTACATATGCCTTAGTGTCCACTAAGTAATACAAAACTAGAGATGGGCCTGAGCTGAAACTGCTGATTTGAACATCCCAGAGCATTTTTTTGTGGGGAAAGCCTGCAGAATGTCATCTTCTATTGTCAGGCCAAACTTTAAATACCAGAGATAGACCAACTGCAGACAGGAATGTGTTCAAAATCAAGATCTAATTTTTGCAGTTCAGGCACATCCTTATATAAAACTGAAAGTATCTCTATTTTGCAGTACTGACAGACTCAAAAGGCTGGAGTGCAGTCACTGTACGGAGCTGGGCTGGGCTGGCTCACTTGAGTTAGTCCCAGACACAGAGACTGAGTGGTTTTGAAGCTTGACGTCCGGACAAGGATGAGGTGTGGAAACTTGTCTTTCACTGCATCGCTCCTTTCAGCACAGAGGTAAATGGAGACATATACATGGAGGTATGACACAAAGAAAACTTTTGGAAAGCAGAGGCTAATCACTGGCCTTTATCCTAGGGGTTATGTACTGCGTCTAACCTGAGATCCTATTGAATTTCGGTGGATTCAGCTTTGCTTTAAGTTACCTGCAATCCACATCACAAAAAGAACGACATTGAGCTATTAGGTTGAATTTGGCACACTTGGCAGTCTCTGTTCAGAGACTGAGTTAACATGGGCACAACCAACTTACCAGTTCCTCATAAATGGTCCTCTGAGCCAGACCTAACAATGTCCTTGGTGGGCTAGTTCCAGAGACTCAACACTTTCAGCAAACAGCACTGATCAGTGAATGCAGACAATTTCTTTTTCAAAGTGCTGCTAGTCCTTTCAACACAATCCTGCCCAAATAGTCACTTCAGAATGTAAACAAAATCTTTCCTGGAGGGGTCCCTGGCAAATCAGTATGATGCAAACACAGAAAAATGTAGAATTTCACAAAGAAAAAACTTGTTATAGATAAAAAATAAAATGTGATGAAAAAAGGAGGCTGATTATGAAGTAGTAATGTTCAAAGCACCTCTTAATATTATCTCTTTTTCATTAGCGATGTTAATTGCTAAGATGATATATCTTGATTTCTTTTGCCTGGAAAGTCTTCTGCCGTGAAAATTGCATAGTCACAAGACTGCAGATGAATTTCCTGGGTTAAGTCACAAATCCATGCAATTTTTGGTTGCTTGATGGCTTAACAGAAACCTTCCTCCCTTTTTTCAATAACAAAACAATAGGAATGAAAAGAGTGAATGAACTAAGCATACAAAGCTACTGGCTTGTAAGTGAAAACACTGCGCAGGCTGGAGAAGCATGTAGGTGACAACTTCCACCCTTGAACCTCAAACCCATTTATAATAAGTTGCTGCCGCTCTGGCAGATCACCTCTTGACCAAAAGATTCTATTTATGCAGCTTTTGCTTAATCAGTCCAAACTAAAAAAGTGGGGGGAGAGGAGAAGACGACGACGAATGGAAGTCATTGTGACGATGCTTTCAGGAGATGCAGCATGCAATGCTAGGCCTTTGTGGGGCCTTTTCTCCAGGCAGCCCACGTGGGCAAGTTTATCCTCCCGTGTACAAGCAGCAGGCCTGAAGAGCAGCTCTTCGGAATCACTGTTGCGGGCGCCATTTCTGAAATGGAGTCCTTGGCCACAGAGCGCCTCTCCTTGCCTTAGTTCACCCATCTTGCATACTTTGTGTGTGTGCTTCTAAAGTTTAACACCTCCTGCATCTCGAAGGGCTTTCAGGAGTTATACGACTGCATTGTTATCAACTGTTTTGTTGTTCTGGGAGGAAGTCATTGCATATTCAGCTTGACTGGTTCCATTCTCCTCTTTTCTCAGTGGTTTCCTTGGATGGTCACAGGTTCGATGGTGTATAGGTGAGATGGAGGGAAAAGAAAGGACAAAGATAAACATCTTCTTTATTAAAACAGATTAACTTTTAAGATGCATTATAACACTCGACTTTTACACTTTGTTTCCTCAAATCAGGAGTTAAATTTTTTCAAATCTGAGGGTCTGCATAGAGCATGTGGGTGCTGGTACTGAGGCCATGTAATGGTCTTTTGATTTGCCTATACCAGTCAAAAAAGCAGAGAGGGTTTTGGGTCAGATGAAGGTTGCTGGTCAGAGAGTTCTGCTGCCTGGGGCCTGGGTACATTCCTGGCTCTCCTACCACCTCCAAACCTGGCATGAAGGGAGCCACCTTAGTGCTCTGTCTAACGCTCTGTCTTTGGGTTGTCCTAGGCCTCTCTCTTCTAAAAGCGAAACTGCACTGGGGGCAAATCATGTCCACTGAGGATTCAACTCTCATCATAAAACCACTGTGTTCAGTTACGAGTATCAGGACTCGTCTGATCAAATGTAGATATGCGCAGTTGTGATCACCCCAAGCTCTGTTTACAGCTTAGTGGAGAGAAACAAGTAATTTTAAAATACGATTCAGTTCTGCTTAAAGTAGATGCTTAAAATAAGTCAAATGCATTGTGCCTAAGGCATTCCTATTTTTTTTATTGTCCATAGAGGAAGCACAGTTTAGTAGCACAGACATAAAAGTCCATGTTGCAGATCTCTGCGGCAGGTAAAACAATATGCTCAGTGACTGGAAGCACTGTGCTTGCTGTCATCTACTGGCCCCCCAACACCAGCCATGGAAGCATCCACTGTATTTATTTTTGTTTAGTAGCTGCCAACCATTTGGCAACACAGTCCAGATCCTTGCACAATAACTGAGACAGCTCAGGAAATACCTAGCTAGTTTAACAAACTAACAAGGTTCTGCAAATCCATGAGCAAAACCATCTTATCTGCTATTTTAAAATTACTCTAAAGAGAGGTACCTGAGCACAAATCTCGTAATGGACATGTTATATCAATTAAGTGCATCCCCCAAAACTTCTTTCCCCAAGGTGCTATGACCTTTATTTAAAGCCAAAGTTTTGCATACAGTAAGAGCAAAAACCTTTCTGCTTTTCATACAGATATTTCATATAGATGTTAGATCCACATGTTAGTCTCTTGCGTTTGTGGTGCTTCTAACGGCAAAGCGAGGACTAGATAAACAAATATAAGACAATGGTCCATCCGGGCTATCGATTTTGATGTAGTTTAATAAAAAAATCAATTAATACAAAAATAGTTAATGACATTTAATTTCAGCAGAGAAAAGCATTAGTGAAAGATTTATGGAGCCTGATGATAAGAAGATAAATTTGTTTTAGTTGTAATCACAAAGAGAGCTCCTTCTCAATGTGGTATCTTACACTGCCCTTCAGCGGGTAAGATTTAAGGCTTGTTAATATTAACTGTGTTTCCAGCTGTTAGAGAATGGAAATGGAATTGGAAGGGAAGCCTAAAAGCTTTGTTGAACCCCTTTTGAGAAGTTAACATGCTGTGCCTGTCAGTATCTGACATAACTTCCTGCAGCTCTGTCTTTCACATTATAAAGCATCTGTCCATCTCCCCACATTTCTGACAAGCAGAATGGACAACCTGACAGCAACATTTCTTGTCTTTTTTTTCTTCCTAGGCTAGGCTTACAGACTTCCTAGGCTGCCTTTAAACTTCCTCTTGTTTTCAAGATCCGATGAAGGGTCAACAAGTGAGAAAATTTAGGCAGCTCCGAGCTTCTCTTTTCTGTCTTCCACTTACCCCTTCTTTCGATATTTAGCTGTCCAATGTCTTTCTACTTATGTCCAGCTCCATTTTCTCTGGCTGTCTAGCCTTGCTCTTCTTTCCTCATTTTAAAAAGTGCCTTCCTTCTCATTCTATTTATATGTTTTCCCTATAAATGATTCAAGAATGACTTAATTATTCCTGCTGATTTTTTTTCCCTTTCTTCTCCCTTTTCACTTTGGTTTCTCTTCCCCAAGAGCATGTTTTCTCTTCTCACATCCCCATGTTTCTGTCCCAGCAGGAAGCCAGCCTGCCATCTCACTGGGAGTTTCAGAGAGGCCCCTGCAGCAGTTAGATCTCTCTGGAGACACTGCTGGAGAGGTACTAGTGATTTTCTACACCTGCTACTAGATATGCATTGAAATTGTATTTTTTCAGAGCCTGAAAATATTGGAATGGAGATTTTACCAGGGTTCTCTCTGCATTCCTGAGGTTCACTTCTGTCTTACCAACTGGTTAGGGGTAGCACTGGTAAAACAAAACAACTGCTTTCTTGGGTCTCAGTGAAATGCCCATTTGAGGCATTTATTTGATTTTGGCACACACTAAAGTTCAGGCTTGAGAAATGCTCCATTTAACTCCTTCACTCATTTTATTCCCAAATGGATGACAGATGCGGATTTTGGGTCAAACTTGCCTCTCTCTTACACCATTTAAATCATTTGCTTGACGGAGGTATATGCAGTTATCACAATGATTAAGATTGATCTATGTATTTAGAAATCCAGTATCTTTTCAGTCTGCTGAAATTTTTGAACTGTGCTTTTGTGTTAGAGCAGGACCTCATTTTATTTCATTACTTCTGTGTGTCACTAGCTCTTTTTTCAGATTTTAACTGCTTAAAACTGTTTAAAACTGAAATACAAGTATGCCTGTTTTTCTGCTTACACACCAAAGGGAACCCTTTTGTCACATTTTATGCCTGATAAGGTAGGTAATTCATGATCTTCCTACGTGTAACACTCTAAGCCTCCTGTCAGCTGAAGTAGTGTCACCCTGCATTCATGCATTTCCCTTCTGTGTTACTTTTCATTGAGAAGATGGATGTTTCAAATTAGTGAGGAAATAAGCAGGGAATAAACATTCATGTCTGTGATATACTCACTTGGTGGCAGGCGAAACAGGCTGTTTGCAAGCAAGTGATTTGCATTGCTTTGCAATGTGATTTGCTACACATTGTGCTTTGATGTTTAGCAAACAGACTGGTGCAATCTTCATGCAAAACGTCTGCAAATGAAAGGTACATGCAACTCTGCATAGCTTAGCACACGCCTGAAATGATATTTCCGAGTCCATAATGACATCTCCACCATGCATGCATTAATTTGTATGTATCCTACAATCAAGAAAGCATCAAACAAGCATTTAATCGTGCACTTCATATGCTAAGCTTCAATTTTAGATCAAGTTCTGATCACATTACATAATAAATATTCTTTGGCAAAGAAGTTCATCTTGGTGCTGTACCAGCTCTCTGCGGAGCCCTGTGTAAAGGTCGATGCAACAATGCACATCAAACTGAATTTGTATGTTCTGTCTTTAGAAAATTTCTTAAAGAAAATGAAGTTTCGGGTCCCTTGATCACACTGAGTCAAGAAAATCAGTTGGTATATTTGACAGAGCCCTTCCTGGCAGCTTTTGTTGTTGGAGTAAATTTGGCATAGCCTTACTGTTACTAATACAGTTCAGCTGGTAGAGTACAAAGGAAGAGCCTCAAATGTTTTAGCTCAAAGTTACACATTGAAAAAAAAATCTCTTTATATGACTTTTTAAACAAAATCAAAGAAAAACTGAGAGCATTATTCATTTAATCAAATATAATGCCTCATTGCCCAAGGCTTATGAAATGTTTGAGGAGGAGAAGACCACTTAGAAATGGGAGTAGAAGTTCGTTCAGAATATTAAATAGTAAGAGGGCTTAAAAGACACAACACAATCCCATGCAACATTCACATTCTTCAAGCTGCTTTAAAGAGATGAGTTAAACACAACTGACTTTTTCTGACAGTCTGCATTGCGAAGCCCCTTTCCTAAGCACTGGCCTTCGTGGCGATCGCTGCTCAGCACCATGGTCATGGCCAGCAGCCAAAAGGGAGAAGCAGCTGAAGGTGGGACCCAGCTGAAACCCAGCCTAGGAAGAGGGGTGGCCTTGTGCTGGCAGCAGAGAAAGGCAGGGATCTTAAATCCACCTCCTTCTGTGATGCAGATACCTTGCTCAGCACTGCCAGGAGACACCTGCTTTCACTATCCATGTACCAACTGAGAACCAGTTGCAGCAACAACCTCTTAGGCTACAGAAGTTGTTCAAGAAACAGGGAAATATCTGATAAATTACTTAACCTTGTTACTCTCTGGTTAGGCTCTTACCAATACCTGTAGTAAATATATTTAGAGGTCCTGGCTCAACTGGTCTACCCTGGAAGCCCAGGCAAGTTGGTATTTGGGCTATAGTCACATACTAAAAGCATCTTTAATTAGCACATACAGGATAGTAATGGAAAAATGCATATTGTAATGCCATTCAGTGGTGTTACAGTGGATCATTTACATGTGATGTTAGTGGATCACTTCTCTCTGTGACCTGAATGTTTGTACAAATCTAAAGAAAATGACAGGAGAATGTTTACATCTAGGTATTGTGGGTGTTCATCAAACAATACTTTGAGGAATCTGAACACTAGCCATTAGAGGCAAATCAATTCCTGCGGTAGCAATTTATCAGAGACACTAATTTGCTTTCTAAGATCATTTTTTTTCTGCAGGACTCCTCCTAGAGAGGCTCAGAGCATTGAGGACAGTTGTTTTATAGGACATAGCCGTCAAACTCTGTGTGCAGCCTCTCAGTAAAGGCCCTGCCCAGGAACCAACCTTAGCTGGCTAGTCTGGCACTACAACCTGTACATACAGACTCACATTTAAAAATCAAAGGGAGAGAAATTTCTCTGGAAATATTTTTCAAGTTCATGGAAACAGAGTCACATTCTGAGTTTTCCTTTTGACTGTCTCACAGCGAGTACATTTTATTTGAAAGTGTAAAGATAGAAATTAAAGAAGAAACCCTAAGGCTGAAAATTGTTTGAAATTTTAGTTTTTCTTAGTTAAATTAGTTTACAGCCATATGTAGACCATCAATCTGTCCAGAAAACAAGCAGCGTACTATGCATTACTCATAGG